ACGGAGTCGTAAGTGATACTCGTAGGCACGGGAAGACTGAATTTAAATTTGCGAGGCCGTACGCAGGCAAAGGGCCATTGCTCGAAAACTTTAGATTCCGTGGGTCCCGAGACAATAATTTACTGACTAAAAATTTCACAGGCCCGCACGTGATTCTCGCAGACACGGGAAGGCTGAATTTAAATTTGTGGGGTCGCATGTGGGCGGGGAACAGTGCTCTAAAATTTCAACTTCTTAAATTCTGTGGTTCCTGAGATAATAGTTTCCCGGCCCCGCCCCCCCCCCCTCTCAAAAGTTTCATAGGGGCGTATGTGTTGCCCGCGGGCACAAAAAGGCTGAATTTGAATTTACTGGGTCACACGTGGGTACGGGACATAACCATAAAATTTCGACTTTCTAGCTTCTATGTTCCTCGAGATAATAGTTTTCCCCGCCAAAACTTTTATGGGCTGTACGTTTTACCCGCGGGCAAGGAAATGGTGAATTTAAACTTTTTCGGTCGCACGTGGGCGGCGGAAATACTCTTAAAATTTCAGCTTCCTATCTTCCGTGATTTCCGAGATGATTTTCGCCACCAAAATTTTTCCGGAGCCGTACATGTTACCCGCCGGTACGGGAAGGCTGAATTTAAATTTGCTGGGTCACACATAGACGGAGAACATTTACTTAAATTTTCAGCTTCCTAGCTTTTGTGGTTACCTAGTTGGAAGCTGCGAACAAGATGCATCGGACACACACACACACACGCACATGCATGCACACACACACACACACACACACACACACACATATACACACCCATGCACACAAACACAAACAACCCAGTGAAAATATACGTTTTGTGTAGCTGTTGCACGGCGGCACAAAACGCATAAAAATCCTTAGGGTATCGATATTCAAACTTCCTCCGCTGCTGTTCTTTAACAATCCTATATTTGTTATTTGTGACGGCTCCAAACATGTGCCCTATATACTATTACAATTTATCGTCATAAATCACTTATAATTTCTTAATTGTTTTACTCACTGTGGTCTTGTATTCTCGTATTCTAATTTATTTAATGATTTTTAGGTGAAGGGTGTTTTCCTGGATATGCAGTACAGCAGCCTTATTATCCGCGGACTGTGTCAGGTATTTGCTTATTCTTCTTGCTCATGGGAACAGAGTTCCTTTATTTTATTCGGGGGAAATTAGTGGTTAAAATTGCTACTTGAAAGATATGCATAGTTACACTAGCAAAAAGGCTCTGAAAAAAACTAACTCACCATCGTTTTTGCCACAGTCAGCTCAAATAAGCAAGTTAGTTTCAGTTAAGTGTGTTTTAATCGCAGACCACTCATTTTTGCAGCAAGTCGCGAGCGAGTCCATGCCGATGCGGCTGATTTTAATGTAGGCAATGACGACTATCCACCGCCGCAACGTGTCGCAGCACCATCGAACACAGATGCAAGCTTGGATGTGGTGCAGAGAGCCTCAGACTTAAACTGTCATGATTTCGATAGCAATTGCCGATGGTCAAACACAAATGAAGATGAAATGGACTGGGCAGTTTTGATGTCTACACCGGATGCTGAACCTTGGCTCAGTACACTCCAAACAACTTCTCTTCCAGGTCATTTCACATGTCTTCAGTCCACTACCGCTCTAAATTCGTTAGCAAGTGCACGTTTGAGATGGCAGTTCCTAAGCTGATGTAAGATATTTAAGCACAAAGAAGTCCCATAAAAATCCCGGTCGTGCAGTTATCATTTGTCGAGTGATAGTGCTTCGACGGGGCCGAATTATTCACGTCCACGTAGTTCCAGTAAGGAACAAAAAGTATCGCGCTGCATGTGGTTTTTTTTGCTTAAACCAGGAATAGCGCAAACCACAATCTGAACAGCGACTCTCAGGTAAAGCCATACTGCCACGGTTGTATTGGGCGAATGGTCGCATTGCTGCACATAAGCCTCATGCTGAATGTTTGAGTGGTTATTGCAGTCTTGGAAATGCACACAAAACTTTTTCCGTCGTCATTTTGAAATTCAGCAATGTTCGAAGAAAATGGCATTACTATAGTCGGAAAAAGATCCATTTATTGAAAAAAACTTTTAATT